GCCACCGGTGCCATCCTGGCATAGGGCCACTGCGGTGGGGTCCCGGCTGCCCCCGCCACCCCCCACCCACCCCCCCAGGCCCCTCCGAATCTGCCCAAATTCCTGCTTTTGCCAGGCCCTGACGGCTGCTCCCACGTCCCGCTCGCAAGCAGAGCAACCAGGGAAAACCAGGCACTCTGGACCTTTCTTTATTAGTACTGCTAACGAAGGCTCCCCAATTAGCCCAGGCTGCGGGGGGGGGGCAAATGTGGTGCTGCAGGACAGGGGGGATTTGCAGGGTTTTGGCTCCCAGGGTTAGAGGAAGGGCAGGGGACGGGGACAAGGGACAGGGGACGGGATGGCGACGGTGCCGTGGGGCGCGCTGGCCGCTGGCACCCGTTGGGCGTCTCCGGCACAGGCGGAGGAGCCGCATGCCTCCAAAATTGTGCACGCCACCATGTAGGTCACCCAGCTGGTAATGACAGGGCGGCAGCACCGGCACCCACAGCCCCGGGGAGGCCACCCAGGGGTGCCCGGCTCGGCGGGGACACCCAGGGCCGGTTGGGAGCTCACCCAGCCCACGGGGGTCCCCGGCAGAGCAGCCGCGCTTGCAGGCCACGTGCTCGCTGCGTGTGCGATGCACGCTCTCCGTGTGGTGGCTGCATGTCATCTGCATGTCATCCGCATGTTCTCCACACGGGCACTGCGTCCTCTCTGCGTGGCTGGTGCGTGCTCGCTGCCCGCTGTGTGCTTGCCGTGTGGCCCTTATATGACCTCCGCATGTTTGCTTCACGCCTGGCACGCGCTCTCCGTGCTTGCTGCGCGCTCTCTGCGCGCTCGCTGCACGTCTGCACGCTCGCTGCACGCTCACTGCGTGTCTGCACGCTCGCTGCATGCTCAGTGCATGCTTACTGCACCCTCCCTCCGTGCTTGCTGCTCACACCCTGCACCCACTATTCGCTCCCTGCACGCTCCCAGCCTCTTTGCACGCTCACACCGCACTCGCCGCACGCTCTCCGCGCGCTGCCTCCCACACCGTATCCCGTCTCCGAAAGGCCCCGAACCGGGAGGTGTCGGGGCAATGGCCGGGGGTGACAAGAGGCAGCGGCACCTGAGGGGTGGCTTCCTCCAGCTGCGGGGCCGCGAGTGAGGTTTGCAGCCGGGTGTGATGAGAGCGTCAGGTCTCAGGCTGCCGGGGGGGGCCCAGATGATCGGCCGTCGGCACCCAGGGGACGTGCACCCGCGTGGGGCCGGATGCTGCGTGGCAGCCTGGCGTGCGCAGAAGCCCACGAGCGCGTGTGCGAGGGCAAAGCGGGAGGCGGCAGAGCGTCGCCCCACGTGGCGTTTGCACCCGCACATGCGTGTGCGGCCAGCACGCGTGTGCACGCACACGCAGGTGCAGCCTCTGCGGGTACGTTGCTGTGGAACTGCGCGGTTGCCTGGGGGCCGGCTCGCACACGCACACACACGTACATACGTGTGCACACACGATCATGCTGCCGCCGCCCCATGTGTTGGTTTTTTTTGCCTGCACACGTGTTTATTCCGGTGCATCGCCCGTGTTTCCCCGCCGGGGCCGGGGGGCTCTCCCCCTCTCCCACACAGCCGAGTGGATGCAGGGTCCAGCCAAACTGCCCCCCCCCCCCCCCCCCAAACCGGGGCGGTTTTCCCCCGGCCTCCCCTGTGAGCGTGCATTTTCGGGGCCAAGGCGGGGGGGTCCTGCGCTGCACACCCCCCCTGCAGAGCAGCCCTCGCAAATCTGGGGCTGCAGCAAGTCCCTGCTCCGGTGGCTCCGGCTGGGGGGGGGCACGCCTGCCCCCAGCAAACCCACGGGCGGCAGAAGGGGCCACGACGGCGCCTGGCCAGAGGAGGCTTTGGCAGCTCGTGCAGCGCAGGGCATCCGAATTTTTTTCGGGGAAACATGGATTTTGATGCATTTGATGCCACCCGGCTGCTCGGCGGGCGCTGAGCCCCCCCCAGCCCTCCTCCCTCCTCCTGATGATCA